GAAAATTATGGAACACTACTAAATATGCATATCAGCCGGAATATGTATCGCGCGCGCTCTCTTTCTCTCCCTCCCTCCCACCCTCCCTTTCTCTCTCTCTCTCTCTCTCTCTCTCTCTCTCTCTCCCTTGCTCCTTCTCTCTGCTTCTTGCTCTCTCCTCGCGAAGGTTACTATCATACGTCATTAGCTTTTGTCAGAAACACTACCGTCTCGGCCACCAACTCCACCACCGCCACCACTCCTTTCCACCGTCCTATCATTTGGGCTGTCTCTTCCTCCACGTCCATTAAATTTCTTGGCCGTGATCTCGGTCTCGCGTCGAATCGTGTGAAATGTATGTATCTAGGGCGCGATATTTTATGTGGCACAATATCTTATAATTATCTCGGACTCGCTACTAACATCAATTCCGGAATATAAGACGCGACCTGGAATCGCGATATGGTCATGTGTTTTCAGATAGCCCGCATGCCTCTCTCAACGTTCGCGGCGGCCACGACGACGAGTAGACGACGAATGCGACGCGATCTTCGCGATCGAGGCGGGTCACTACATCCCTTTGCTTCACAGTCAGCAACTCGGCCAATTATCCGGGGAGAACGCGGGCGACGCATTTGATAACCCGGGTGTAAATATGTATGTAACATTTATCACACCGCGGCTGAAACGAAACGGCTGGCTAGCTGCTCACTTGCTTGCTTGCTTACCTACCTGCGCTTAAACGCGATGGCAACATCCATCCACCGGGACGCAAATTAAATTCCCGCGAGATTCTGCGGCTATCTTTCACGTGGTATGGAAGATAACTCGAATACCACGCGCGAATACCACATGCACGACTCGGCCACGTATCTCGCGCGCATTTTGCAGCGACACTGCCAGCACTCTGATTGGTCCCGTCCCGCGAATCGAATCCATTCATTTTATATGAGCCACGGCAAGATTGGATTTTCGAGATGAATAAGATCACGCCGTACCTCGCGACGAAGGAGACGGAGCGTGATCAGATTAAAAGAAGAAGGAGAAAGTCACGCGAACGCATTCCCTTCATTATTTCCGTTCAACGACAAAAATTTTGCCCCGACAAAAAATTCGCGTTTCATCCGCGAGTCGCGTGAAGCAGTCAAGCCTCGGAATAACATATAGCCGAAGTAATTTACGCGAAAATACTCGCTCGTCAAGTAGCCCGTTAACTTGGCGTTGTATCTATGTGTGTGTATGTGTATATATGTGTCTGTGTATCTTGCAGCGCTGTATTAACCCCGAACGAAGAGTCCCAATTACTAATCCAGAATACCTCTTCCGTTCCAAATGTTAATTGCGAAAAGGCGGCCGCGTGACCGGGAATTCGTCGGAGGGCACTTAATACCTTCGTGCGCCCCATGGGTATGCCTTCAACTTTCAAAAGGTTTGCTCTCTCCGGCGAACGTGGCCTGGATAATAAATATTCTCGACGAGCGACGGCAAAAAGGCAAAAACGACGAAGCAGTATAACGCGCTGTGCGAGACATACTTCACATTTGATAGTATTATAAAAATAGAAATGGCGCAATAAGAGGGGGGTTGGGCTGTCAGAAAGAGGAAGAGTCGGCGCCTATACGCGAAAGACCACTATTAACAAAATAACAATTCATTATAATAACTAATAATAAAAAAAATCGAGCAGGGCTGTAACCTACATTATATCAAATCGCAACGTATAAATGACGAATCGACCGGAAGGTTACTCAATGTGAGGTTTCTATTTCCAGGATTGGGAAGTAACGCAAGTCGTATTTAAATAATCTTTGCAACTTTATCATTTTATATCGACGTTATTTTTTTCTTATTAACGCAAATACATTCTTGGAATAATTATAACGAATACGATCATTTATTTCTGTCGTCACTTTGTAACACTATCGTTATTTCACGTAGAATATACACTGTGTGGGAGAAAAAATATTTAAGAGACAAAAATTATTACTAATAATACGTTTATTATATTGACATGAAATATTTTTCAAATAAGAAAATATTCAGCTTGTTGAAACCTTAGCTTGTCGAAAGTAATGATTATTCTAGTTAAATAAAAAAGAATATAGATACAAGCGAATACGTTATTAGTACCCAGCGAATAAATGTGTTTCTTTCTCAGTGTGTGGAATAGATAGATGGCGAATCCCTTAAGAGGGAGGCCTTCGAAACTTGCTGCAAGATTAATGGGAATTTTAACGAACCGTTACCTCTTGAATAACGACACAACGATAACGACGATTACTTTTTTTCAATGAGTAACGAGGAAAGGGTTACTTTTCGAAAGTGACTCCCCCAACTCCATCTGTTTCCCGCGGAACTAAGCCCTCCCTTCTCGCGGCCGTGTTTCGGGGGCGTTTTATATGCCGAGATCGTGTAGGAGCGCATGAAAATAGGATGAGAGGGACGACCGATGCCGGCTGCGCGACCATTAGACCGTGGCCGAGTACCGACAGCGGGCCTAGATAAAGCCCCACCTTAGCACACGCCGCCCGCGGTGATTTACAGCTGGTTAATTGATCATTTGCATTCTAGCGAGGGGATGCTTCGTGCCGACGCCGGCGTTGTTCGCCACGCGGAGACCAAAACTCGCGCGACCTCGGCTCTGCCGAGCATTCATGCATCCCTCGGACTCGCTACCCCCGCGAGTTCTGCTGCCGTCCACGTCCATTTGCCTTGATTAATCGCGGAATGTGTCCGGACAAAAATTAGGTTAAGCCACGAAGCCACGAGATCCCTATCGCGCGTTCACGCGCTTCGCACACACGTCGATTAATCTCCTCGTGCCATACGTTAACGGATGACGCCCACGCGCCAGGGGAAGTTGCCCTCATATATTCCGATGTAATCGTAAATACCGTTGCACCGACTAATTTGTCAACGATAGCAGTTTGATTAAGGCACCGCGTGCTTTTTCTGCGGCTTCCGTCGCAACAGTGTACAATTATCGAGCACGAGGCGTGCGAGCAGCTCTGCAAACCCCTCCGCCACGAGGAGGCAAAAGAGACTTGTCACTCTCCACGTGTATATAAACATCAAGCGCGATGCTTTTTCGATGACTGCACGAATCTTAGATCGGGAATTTACGTTTCATTATTTCTCCTTTCTTTTTGCACACATGTCATACGGTTTTTATTTCGTCTCCGTGAACCGTTCACGCTGAGATTGTTGGCGCTGC